AAGCGTTGGGGAGTCCATCTGCCCCTGGGGACTTCCCTGGGGGGAGTTGCTTAATAGTACTGATGATTTCTTGTACAGTAATGGGTTGTAATAGGGCTTGACATTGGCCCACTGTCAGTTTGGGCAGTGTAATGTCTGCAAGGTATTGGGCTGTTTCCGAGGGTTGAGGGTGAGGTCTAGTGTCATCCGTGCGGAGATTGTATAAGTTAGAGTAAAAGGTTGCAAATGTGTTACTGATTGTTTGTGGGTCAATATGTTTCTTGCCGTCGTCGTCTATTATGTGGGATATTTTACATTGGGTCGATCTAGCCCTGAGCCGTGCCGCTAGGTGTTTGGTGGGTTTGCCGGAGGTGTGGTACGTGGTGGCCCTGAGCCTATGAAGAAGACCGTTCGTTCTTTCCGCCTGTAGTTTAGTAATGGTCATCTGCAGGTCGTTTATTTGGTTTAAGCACGTTTGCGTAGGTTGGGCTTTATTTTTTGTACTGACCTCAGCCAAGGTTTTGTAAGCATCCAGTAGCGTGAGCTGGTTCCTCCTCTTAAGATAGGAGGACCTTCTAATAAAAAGTCCTCTAACTACGGCTTTATGGGCGCACCACACCGTGCTGTGTGTGATCTGTCCTGTCCCGTTCGTTTGAAAGAATTCCGTCAGTGCGGTCTGGATCGAATCTCGAAAGGTGGCCTCCGCTAGGAGCGATTCGTTAAGTCGCCACTGTCCCCGCCCTCTGAATTGAAAGTTATCGTGTAGGTGTAGGTGTACTGGACCGTGATCTGACCATGTGATTTCCCCTATCCTGCAGTCTCTTAATTGCGCTAGTGTGGCATTGTCTAGGAAAAAGGTGTCAATTCGAGTATATGTGTTGTGGACTTTCGAGTGAAACGTGTAGTCAGCCTGTGTGGGATGCAATGTTCACCAGGCGTCATAGAGTCCGTGTTGTGCCAGTACTTTGGCAATAGTTGTACATGTGTCTGCTATATGTGATTTCCTCCTACCCGTGGGGCGGGCAGTCGTGTCTAAGGTCGGCAGTTGAATAAAGTTAAAATCTCCACATAGGATCAGGCCTCCTGTCCTTACCTCATCTATGGTGAGGAGGAGAGTTTGTAAGTAGCGTTTGGGTTCTATATTAGGAAAATATGCCGCAGCCAAGGTATACATTGTGTTATTAAACATGCCCACGAGGACGATAAACCTGCCCTTAGGATCCACGATTTTTCTATGGAGTGTGAGGGACGTGTCTTTATGGATGAAAATTGAGACTCCTTTAGTTTTGGTATCTGAAAGGGCGTGGAACTGGGTCGGTAGTATTTGTTATATATACTCGGAGTATGATCCCTCTTAAAATGGGTCTCCTGGACACACGCAATGTCAACTCTCTCTTTTTTCAGGTCTCTGAGTAGTAGGCTCTGTTTGCCAGGGGTATTAAGCCCTTTGACATTAAGGGTCGTAATTTTCATAAATGACTAAGTGTAAGGTTGTTGCGGTGGTGGCCCAGTGGGATGGTGTCCCCGTGGATGGAGCTATGTAGAGTAATCGGCTCTTGTCGTAGCAATGCACTCTAGGACTACATGTCCTTGTTGGTGGAATTGGTGATGCCGGGTGGTGATGGGGGGGGGGAGGGAACTATAGGAGGAAGGAAAAATCCCGCAACTGCGGGTGAGAAAACGCTCAGCAAGTCTGAGCAACAGTGTGGTCTGGTTTTCCCAGACCCACACAAAGTGGGGGGCGGCTTCGAGTGTCTCCATACAATACATAGAGTCACTCTGGTCTTAGGGCCCAGTCGGGGCTGCTGGGATGCATTGATGTAATGAGGCAGCATTTTTACAAGTCATGACTATGCTGCGGCGTACGCCCAAGCGTACAGTGGTGTGCTCTACTATTAAATAAGTGATGAGGACGATCACTGGTCCTGGAAGTAGAGTAAACGAGGGATAGTTCTTGACCATAGAGCATAAAAAGAACAAAGAAAAGACATGTATATAAACCTTAAAATGTTAAACAATAAGACATCTCCTTCAAGCAGGGGTATGTAATGTGTGTTTAGGTAAGATGCCTGCCTTGGGCAGGTGCTCGTCTCAGTGTATGCCTGTGGTGCTCCAACGCGGGCCCCTCTAGAGTGATCAGTACTCAAGTCTTAACGTGTGGTGGCTTTAAATAGCTGAGTGTACTACTCTAGCCCTAGTGGGGCAGATTCAGTAACCGTGGGTCGCCGTATACGGCGAGGCATGGTAGATGCCTTGGTGCGAGGTGTACCACAACTAGCTCGCTTGAGGCGTGCATAGGATTTTTTTTGTTTGTTTATTTATTTTTATTTTTTTTATTTTTATTTTTTTTATTTATTTTTTTTGCCTCTCCATGTGCCCTGTTCAACTGCTATACAGGTGTGGTCATGCTAATTGGGCAGTGTCGGGTTCTAACCTTAAGCTCTATCGTTACATCGAAGTGGACAGTTCGCATAAAACATAAGTGTCATCAGCATCTCTCTAAAACATATAACGTGCATTGGTATACAATACCCTACTCGGGAGGACCTTCTGCCCTTAGGCGGGAGTCCATTCCGGCGTCAGTCTGGGGACTTTAGCCGGTGAGGACGCCAAAGGCGGAGGCAGCGATATACCCCAGTCCTGTAGCTTTTTTAGGCCATCAGTTTCCGTCGCTACGGCATGGATCACCCCCTGCTTCTGCACCAACAACTTCGCCGGATATCCCCATCGGTAGCTGATATCGTTGGATCGGAGCGTGGTAGTGATCAGGGACATCGATTTTCTAAACTGCAGTGTGGCAGCTGACAGGTCTGCGAAGACTTTGATGTTAGCGTATGGTGCAGGAAGGGAGGCGTTTCTGCAGGCTTTTGTAATGGCTCTTTCACGTGGTAGAAATGGATGCGTGCAATTACATCTCTCGCTGTAGTGGCGGGTAGGTGGTTAGGCCTGCGCAGGCGGTGGGCTCTATCGATGACCAAGAGGTCAGGGTGGGTAGATGGGATTAATTCCTGGAACAGGTCGGTCAAGTATTTGTGCAGTTCTGTGGATTGAACTGATTCTGGTATACCTCTGAAGCGAAGATTATTCCTCCTGGATCTGTCTTCCAGATCTGCGACTTTGCGTTTCTGGGTCTCTAACGAGGTTTCCAGTTCTTGTAGCTTGTCTGCAAGGCTGTTGTGGGCCACTGCAAAATCATCCAGGGATTTTTCTACATGGGCTGTCCTGCTCCCAATCTCCAGCAGCTCCTTTCTGAGATCTGTGGTGAGCTCATGCATCTGCACTTTAATGCTTGCCTGCAGTTTGTCAGAGAGCTCTGCCATCAGGGTTCTCATCCCTGCAACTGTGAGGGGACCTTCCTCTGAGGCTGAGCTTGGTGAGGGTGGAGGGGAGGGTGAAACCTCGCCTGAGCGCTGTCCGCCGCCATCTTGGGCCTGGTCTTCCCTGTGTTTTCCCGCCGGAGCTCGTGCGAGGAAGAATGCGGCTTTCTCCGTTCGGGGGGTCTTCCCCTTGCTTCTGTGTGCCATGGTGGGGGTGAGTAATCTGTTTGCTGCTAGTGGTGCCGGTTAGTTGTGCCCCTAAAGACCCGGGCTGCGGGAGCTTCACATTAACGCGGCCGGTCCCGTCGAGCTCCAAGCCACGCCCGAGATACAATTATTTAAGGTAAATTACATCTGTTTGAAAGTGAAACCAGTTTTTTTTTCATGCAGTCTCTGTCAATCATAGCCAGGGGAGGTGTGGCTAAGGCTGCATAAACAGACACAACGTGATTTAACTCCTAAATGACAGTGAATTGAGCAGTGAAATTGCAGGGGAATGATCTAAACACTAAAACTGCTTTATTTAGCTAAAGTAATTTAGGTGACTATAGTGTTCCTTTAAGTATATCACAGGCAGAGGGGAGGGCTTGCTGACTGTATGTGGGAGTGTTACTGTGTTAATTATTGTTCCTCTTGGTTTGGTAACTTTGTGTCCAGTGCTCCACAAGGTCCACGTGGGGAAAATGTATATAAAAGAAATGCCTTTGTGCTCAATAAACAGATCATCTTGTACCTTCATGAAGTTTTGGCTCATGTTTAGGGGATTGGAGAACTACACTCTGGGGATTGCTATAATCACTATACTCCCCAGGGTATAATCACTAAGCTCTGGTAAGAGCTTGTCCCTGTTCCTGCTCTCTGGATTTAAGAGAGGTCTACCTACTGGACGCTGGATCCTGGTCTTGGGTAGGCAGAAGATGGCGAGACCCCAACCAAGCTGCGGCAGTTCGTGGGGTCTGCGGTGGTTATAGTGTCAAGTGGAGTGCATGGAGCCCTCGGGAAGCACTAGGAACATCCGTCAAAGGAAGGTACCCAGTCCTGATGCCAGGCGTTCCATTACACACACTGCACATTACTGTATCACAGAGCTCAGCCAGCAATAAAACTCACAGTAATGGGCAATGTGCATGATGATTGTATCACAGAGCTCCACAGGAGAAAGAAAATCATAGCAGGGGTAAAAAGTATCACAGAGCTCCAGAGATTAAAGCACATTTCAATTTTTTTTTTTCTTTTTAAGGGATGGATAAGGGTAGGAACAAGGGACAATCACGTGGCCAGGGTTTTACTAAGAACTCCACAGCCAGCAGTAAAACAGAGGCAGAAATGGCAGCTCAGTAGCCCACAAAGGGTTATTTACAAGCAAGTGATTATTATTTTTTTATCCCAGTCAAATTGGTTGCTTAAAATATTTTTAGTTGTTTTTTCCTACTGCTTTTATGTGAAATTTCAGCTTGACCTTCACCCAGGGGCCAGGGCTAATTTATTAAGAAAGCAGACAGGCAGCAGAGACTCTGTTGTGAAAACTAGTGTCAGCTGGCAGGGATATGTTCAGACAGAGACAGACGTCGACAACTACACTACTCTACAAATGTAATTTGATTTATCCCCGTCAATCAGAATGATGGGAGAAGAAAAATATGCAATACTTTTCTTGCCTTGTTAAAATAAAATAAAAGGTACTTAATTTTTTCTTCTCTCGTCATGAGCTATCACCTGGTCTGCTACCTGCACAAATCACTCAGCTGGGGAGCCAGTACTTGTCTGCTCTGCCGACTCTCCTTATCTGCAGCCGCACCTTTCCTTGAAGAACGCATCAGCCGCCGCCCACCAGGCGCTATTGACATCAGACGTCAAATCAAGAGGTTTGCAGAGAGTGGGGGTGGACAGCCAATGGAAGGGAAGGTGAACCGAGTGTCTTAAAGGCAAAGCAAAACTCGCACCTTCCCATTTCAAATTGCCAGCCCCTGTGGCCTGTGAATAATGGTGGCATAACATTTTTTTTAAATAGCATAGCAGCAGTGCAGCATGGATCCTCAATTTAGAGGCTTGATTAGGGTGTGCCAAGGCACACCTGGCACACCCCATGTGCACGCCTATGGTTATTCTCTGTATGACAGAATACCAGCATTTTTTGGATTGATATTATCAATGATTGTTCCCTTTTCCAAAGCTCTTGAACAATCCCTCATTTCGTATAACTTGTGACATAGATTATATCTTTTTCACGTTGGCTTAAATGTCTTGACAGATGCTGCCAACCACTAAAGCCATTTTGAGGCCAAGCCATAATTTCACTGTTGAATATCCTGCAAGCAAAGCACTGGACTGAATTATTAGATGCAGAATAGATCAACCAATTTATGGGTTGTTCTATTTACATCTTCTCTCCATTATTCAGTACTTTTTATTAGTAAGAAATTGTACAGCTCCTGCTGGTATCATCTTTTGGAAAAGTATAGGCCTTTTCTTGAACAGGACCAATTATTTTCAAAGTTATTCTGTGTAGATCATCTATTTTTCAGGCCATTAAGCAGGATCATTTGTGATTCGATTTGATGATGTTGATGCCTGTTCATCCATAAGTACAATGGACTTTGTCTCAGAGGAAACATCAGATATGTCTTCCTCTCCAATGTAAAAATACTCTGCTGCTGAACCAATGTAACATGCAGTTACATCTCCAGTTGTTATTGGCTCATTGCTACACTCGGGATTCACTGGGACCAGGTCATCACATTCTAATTGTTCCAATTCTACATATGTTTCTTCTTCTCCACCATGTGAAATGTCTGTGAGACTGGAAGTTATCTATTTGCTTGGTGTTGATGTATCTGTGCCAAAGGAATCTTGTCCACTGCTTAATGATGACTGGCTGGAAGAAGCTTGTGATGGTAAGTGTCATTTTTTTTACCAATGTTTCTTCCTTTTTCTTACGGCATTGCAGGTTTTAGATGCTAACTAAACAAATTCAATTAGAAAATGGCTGCAATCCACATAACATGTATGGGTGCTATTTTAATGAGGCACCCTGTAATGCCAAATGGATGCACATCTTTGTTACTTCACATCTCTTTATTATACAAACAAAGTAAATCAAACATAAATGCAAAATAAACACTGTTACAAGACTTGCAACTTGTTTTTTGCTCACCTGTTACAAGACTATAACAACCAGTGACAGAGGTTATAAAATATGCTCTAAATCAAAAAGGCAAAAAAACTCAATTGCATATTACCTGCAAGCACTAATTGGTGTCTCCCTGTGTTAATGTTTTTAATCTTTACATATATATATATATATACACACACAATTTTGAAACCTTCAGAATGAGGAAAGTAGCACTGGACCTGATGGAAGATGGAAGAACTCTTTTGGGATATATATATATATATATATATATATATATATGTATATAGATGTAAAATACAGATACAATTCTTATCTTGTAATATCTTTTTTAGTCCTCTATTCTTACTGTTAAACCATTTAATCATTATGGCTTCAAATGCTTTTCTTTCCTGGGTATTTTTAAAACCCCTGAAAGGCTTTTCTTTCCTGGGTATTTCTAAAACCCCTAGGGTTTTAAAAATACCCAGGAAAGAAAATCCTTTGAAGCCAGAATGATTAAATGGTTTAACAGCAAGAATAGAGGACTAAATATTGATTTGGGATTCCTGTCCCACTACCAACACTTTACATGAACACTCTCCCAGCATTATCTTACTATTCTGTCATATGTACCAACACTTTAAAATGCATTCCTATATGTTTATTCTATCTATATACAAAGTACTATGTGTAGACCTATGCTTTCCCATACTCGTATGCATGAATGCTTATATATATTACTGTGCATTTATATTTGTGTATACGAGTCCATGTGCATGTATGTATATGTGTTTATGTATATGTATATGTGTTAATGCGTTCACATATACATATTTCTGTGTGTGTGCATGTATAAAGTGTACCATCCTGTGCACTGTCTGCTTGTTTGTTTTTCTTTTCCCTCTCTCCCCCCTACTCTGCTCTTCAACAAGATATTTATGACCCTCTGCTAAGATGGTGTCTATTTTCTAACAAACCTGTGTCTTATCTACACTCATGTCGCTTTAACCCCTGTATCACAACTCAACTTTGAAGTCTATGTGTCGTTTTGCTCAGAAATGCTTTAGACTTGAGAAAGGGAGGTTCTCCCGAAAGCTTGTCATTAAAAAATTCTGTTAGTCCAATAAAAAAGGTATTACAAGATAAGAATTTTATCTGTTTTTTACATCTACATCACTGGACTAATATGGCTACAATCTCTACTTGAACTATATATATATATATATATATATATATATATATATATATATGAGAGAGAGCATATTAACACTTATATTAACCCCTATATATTATATAATTCACCGGTACCTAATTTTCTACTTTTTTTTTAACTGAAAGAATACAAGTTTATTAATTAAACCAGACTTGTAGAATATTGAAAAGGAAATTCCAAAACTTAGACCAAAATAGTAGTGATTAACAAAATTCCAAAGGAGTTAGAAACTTTTTCCAATTTCACTCTTTTTGCATAAAATGTGTAATTACATTCTGAGTATCTTATGCACTTTAACTGGTGTTAATTTGGTTATGAGGAAATAGACAATGCGTTTTAAAGAAGTCTGTGAGTGCAGACTATCCGTTTTTGGCTTTTACATATTTGTGGCTACAATCGAGCACCCGGCAATATTACCAAGACTACTTGTGAGAAAGAGTGCACATAATTTCTACATTTGTGTACATATATATAAAGAAAAATGTATTCATACTTACGTAATTTTCTTTTCCTGGTCATGGGTCATAGGCCATGGCATCACAACAATGGGTAGCTCCTCCCTATCCCTAACCAGACAGGAACCTAATTAAAACATAAGGTATAAGTAACCCCTTCTAACCCTGCCACCATCAGTCTTGTTTCCAGAAATATCCCAGGGCAGGATCTTTGTACTGCCATGGCCTATGACAAGAAAAAGAAAATTACGGTAAGTATGAATACATTTTCCTTTTTCCTGGCCATTTCCATGGCAGCACAACACTAGGTAATACCCAAGCAATATACATACATACAAAATAGGTGGAGAATCTTTCGTTGTACGTTGGCATATAAAATATGTTAAAAACTGTAAAAACAGAAACGACACAATCTAGTGCAATATCGTAAAGTGCAATAGTGGCTTTAAATATAGTTTGTAGTGGGTACTTACAAACCAAGAGCCAAACGAAACTGGCTCAATTTGGACGCCTGTGGGATAGTTGTTAGGGTTCCCACTCCCTCTCTGTGTAGCAGCTTGTTCTGTATCCCTTATATTAAATAAGAAGAAGGGACCATGTCCACAGATCTAAATTCTTCTTTAATGGAAAAGGAAAATACATAAAAAGTACAATCCCACTTAGGGTAAAAAGTGCAGAAAGATGTATAAAAAATAAAAACAATTTAAAAGTCTCTTTATATGAGATAGTCCACTAAGGGACAAAAAGTTAAAAATCCACTCTGGGAAAGCTCAGCAAAACGCGTTTCACCCAATATATGGGCTTCCTCAGTTGCTCCTAGTGTTGCTCTGTTAACTCTCATCCTTTTATACCCCTTTTAATGGGTAAATGCTGGACATCTGGTCGATCTTCCTTACTTCCGGGTTCCGTCGTCACTTCCGGTTCCGGTTTTCGTTCCGTCAGTGGAACGCATATGCGTGCCATTACAAAATGGCATTTCTTGATAACAGAAATTATCGGATTAATAATATAGATATGTGTTTTGAAGGAGGAAGAACAAATATCTACACACAAGATTATAGCAATGTAGATAAAAGTAAATCCAATTTAGAAAAAGTACTAATTAAAGAAATGAAGACGAAATGGGAAATAGCGACCCTAAATAAGTATGTCAATGAAAGAATTACACCCAGGGGTCTCCGCTTCACGAAAGACCCCACTTCTGATAGGGATGACCCACACTTCATGACAGGTTGGAATCAAATGTTAGATGGCTTCTCCTTCAGCCTTATGGGCTACATTGTAGCCAGGAGAGAAGAAAGTTTACCCAAACTAGATGAAGACATAAACAGATGGAAAACAAACTTGATAGAAAGCACAAGTCCAGAGGTTTACAACAATGTAGTTAAAGAGATTAAAACTAAGGTAGATAAAATTGAAGATACTATTATAGAGATTAAGAAAAATAAATACCTCAGGGATTTAAACGATTATAGGACAGGGAATGTTAGAAAATCAAATTTAGAAAAAAAGAGTACGAGAAAGAAGCCCTTATGTGGAAAATAGAATGAAGAAATACACAAATCATACATAGTCATATACATCTCAAGGAGTAAACAGAATGAGTAATTCTAGAGGTACTCCAAATAAAAAACATAAAAGAACACAACCTCAACAGGATACATATAAACCAGATCCCGCCCATAATTCCCATGCATACACCAACCCTAATAGGACCTACAGCACAGTAGTAAAAGAAGGGGTAAGGAAAGACCAAACATCTAATACCACCGGAGAAAGAAGAAGAAGGTTCTCAGAGCCAACTTCGACAGGGAAGAACTACCATACTAGAAACAGACCCGCTCAAACGATAGATATAACATCTTCTACGGAACACCAGAGTAGGAACCAGTCTGATTCTCAACAGAACAGTACCACATCTTCCCAGTTTTTTCGGAAGGACCCAGCCATCAACAGATTACAGTGGTCACAGAAAATACTCCCCGAAGAATCCCCAGGGAAGAAACGCAGATTCATAGAGGAAGAAAAAGAACAAAGATACAGGGAGAAAAGAAACAGGAGAAGAACGTAAAAGGAATCTTCAATTTAACAGTACAAACCCTTCCCATGGAACAGACAGAAATCCTCGGAAAGGGTCTTAAATTTGCACCCACAACAGATTTCAATAAATTTGATTTCTTCATTGATGTCAACCAATTCATCCGAAGACTATCGTTAAAGAAATTTTTCTTCGGGAAATCACAACCCTTAGAGAATGCACAATGTGACAGTTATGTACACACAGAACTGAAGGAGAAATCTACCTTCTTTCCAAAACATATGGTCTCAGACCAAATGAAGGCTTTTGAGAAAATAGTTATGAAAGAAGTAGATAAAATTAAAAAAAACAATAAATATCAACATAACTTATCCTATAGAGAACAAAGAACGTTAAAAGAAATGAAAAAAGACAACAAGACTATAATCAAACCTGCAGATAAAGGAGGGGGAATAGTTATCTTCGAAAAAGATCAGTATATTAAAGAAGCAGAGAAAATCCTCTTGGACTCAAAGACCTACCAACGGCTACCATCTAACCCCATAGGGGACATAAAAAGGAAATTTGAGGAATACATCCAAAAAGGGAAGGACCAGGAGATCATAAATGAAAAAGAAGCTAAGTATCTGTCAGTAAATCACCCCCGAACTCCAGTTTTCTACCACCTACCCAAAGTACATAAAGACCAACAAAATCCGCCAGGTAGGCCCATAATATCAGGCATCGATTCTATATCCACTCGGATATCAGAATACATAGATATTCTTTTGCAACCTCTGGTTGTACAAAATCCATACTACCTAAAAGACACAATACATATGCTACAAATATTAGAAGAAACGAAATGGCAAGAAGGATACATACTAGTTACGTGTGACGTCAGTTCATTATATAGTATTATCCCCCATAATAAAGGATTAGAAGCAACGGAACATTTTTTAGAGAAATCATCTTTTAAAAAAGAACAAACTGATTTTATTCTAGAAGGAATTTTTCTGATTTTAACCAACAACTTTTTTTGGTTTCAAGACCAGTTCTTTTTACAGATCTGCGGAACAGCTATGGGGACCAAGTTTGCCCCCAGCTATGCAAACCTGTTTATGGCATATTGGGAAGAGAATTTTATCTCAAATGGACATGGCTGGGTGGCAAACTTGGTATCCTACCGAAGGTATATAGACAACATATTTTTTATTTGGACAGGAGACAATCAAAGTCTGACCGATTTTTTACAGTTTTTAAACAATAATGATTGGGGCATTAAACTTACGAGCAACATAAGCCAGGTGGAAATTAATTTTCTAGATTTAAATATATACATCAAAGACCAGAAAATTCACACCAAAAACTATTTTAAACCAGTAGTCACCAACAGCTACATTGACAGAACTAGCTGCCACCATATCCCCTGGCTCACAAACACACCAAAAGGCCAGTTTAAAAGACTAAGAAGAAATTGTACAGACACACAAGTATATACGGACCAAGCGAAATATCTAATGGACCAATTTCTAGAAAAAGGCTATGAAGCAACCAGTCTAAAAAAGGATCGAGAAGACGTCAAATCTATAGAAAGGAAAGAACTTTTAAAATATAAATCTAGAAATACCATTAAAAACAGTACGGACATCCCTTTTATATGTCAATATAATAGAAACATTAAACACATTCAAAAAACAATAAACAAACATTGGCACATCTTAAGGGATGACCCTATCTTAAAGAACATCTTACCATCAAAACCAAAGATTATATATAGAGGAAATAGAAATTTAAAAAACATTTTGGTAAGGAGTAGTCTAGACCCTACTAAACCAGACCATTTTTAAAACAATCTTGTAGGATTTTATGGCTGTGGGGAATGCTTACCATGTAGAACCACTAAAAATAGAAAGAGACATCTTTTGGACCTAAGTACTTTTTTGGGACAACAATACAAAATAAGAGACCATCTCACATGTCATTCCAAAGGAATAATCTATGCCCTGAAATGTCCATGTAATCTCCTTTATATAGGGAGAACAATACGTCCACTACACATAAGAATTGCAGAACATATACGCAACATCAAAAAAGGTTTAGAGACGCATTCTGTCTCTCAGCACTTTAAAACTACACATAATCAAGATCCTACAGTCCTGCAATTTTGTGCAATAAAATTGGTAACAAAAAATTGGAGAGGAGGTGATTACGGAAATAAATTAGGAAAGGAAGAGATGAAGTTCATTTTAAATTTTAACACTCTAATACCTAATGGCTTGAACTCAGACTTCGAGATTTGCCATTTTCTTAAGTAATAACTCCCTCCTTATAAAGACTCTCTTGTTCACTTTTATTGACATTTGTATCAATAGATCAATTATTTTTTGCACACTGTATTAGGGAATTCTCACTGGTTCCTAACACACTGTCATATTTTCCGTCTTGCATAAGCACTTTTTATGTGGATTTGTATATATGTTTCTGTATTTTATAAAAATTATATTTTTCTTTTTCCTTACAGTATATTTAACATATATGTACTCATTACATACTTTTTATGATACATTTAATTTTGCTATTTCAATTCCTCTTTTAATCCACACCTGACCCTGATATTTGATGCATTAAGAAGACATCTAAAATATAATTTTACCCCTTGGAAAAGCCTTTTGATTAAGACTGACAAATACAACTACTTTAAAGAACTTTGTAAAGGCAAATAACACTGTATTGAGTGAGTGAAACGCATGTGCGTTCCATTTTCGGCAAAACTGGAAGTACGTCACTACTAGGTGGAACGCATATGCGTTCCACTGACGGAACAAAAACCGGAACCGGAAGTGACGACGGAACCCGGAAGTAAGGAAGATCGACCAGATGTCCAGCATTTACCCATTAAAAGGGGTATAAAAGGATGAGAGGTAACAGAGCAACACTAGGAGCAACTGAGGAAGCCCATATATTGGGCGAAACACGTTTTGCTGAACTTTCCCAGAGTGGATTTTTAACTTTTTGTCCCTTAGTGGACTATCTCATATAAAGAGACTTTTAAATTGTTTTTATTTTTTATACATCTTTCTGCACTTTTTACCCTAAGTGGGATTGTACTTTTTATGTATTTTCCTTTTCCATTAAAGAAGAATTTAGATCTGTGGAGATGGTCCCTTCTTCTTATTAAATATAAGGGATACAGAACAAGCTTCTACACAGAGAGGGAGTGGGAACCCTAACAACTATCCCACAGGCGTCCAAATTGAGCCAGTTTCGTCTGGCTCTTGGTTTGTAAGTACCCACTACAAACTATATTTAAAGCCACTATTGCACTTTACGATATTGCACTAGATTGTGTTGTTTCTGTTTTTACAGTTTTTAACATATTTTATATGCCATTGTACAACGAACCAAGATTCTCCACCTATTTTGTATGTATGTATATGTTTTAATTTTCATGTGGATTGAGGGATTACCACGTAGGTGATTGTGAGTAATTTGGTATAAGTTGAAATCACCCGCTGTAACTCAGTAATTGTATTACATAATACCCAAGCAATAACCAAGGGAGGGAAAGAAGTACACAAGACTTCCAAAATATGAATGCAAATTGACAACATACACACACACCTCATAAGGACATTGGAAATGAAAAACAGATTGCCCACTATTGGCACATTATCAAATTGACCAACTCAAATGTACCAAAAAAAATGTCTGAAAATTGATTGAGGACCAAGCAGCCATTTACCTACAAGTTCCAGGGAAACTTGGCCACCGATGCCCAAGCGGGAGAAATGGCTCTAGAGAGCAAACAGACCTTTAAGTACTGTAATCCCTAGGGTTTAGTAGCCTAAAAAACAGCCAAGACTATCCATCTGCTGATGGCTTATATAGAAGCTTGAAGATCTTTATGGTCTATTAGTATAAAGATAAACAGACTATCAGAAGAAATCCAGAAAGCGGATCTATAGAAATAGATCTTAAGACATCTATCTATGACACGAGGAGAAAGTTTTATTACATTCTACATTCTAATCAATAGGCTTTAGATATATTGTGGAAGGCAGTAAATGGTTCTATGCAAAATAGTGCTTGAGGATCTAATATCGTTCAGTCCATGCTAATGTCACCGATAGAGCTAACTTAATATTAAGCAGTTGTGGAGAGATATACTCTCATGGTTGAAAGGGGTGAAGATTTCAGAGCCCTAAAAAAACAAAAAACAAAATAATTCCACGGGGAGCAATGGTTAACCATGGGATCATATAAATACAGCCGAAAGAAATTTAGATACTTCCATATCAAAGCCCTTTCACGAAGAGAGTGATAAGAGAGTGCTGAGACATATCTCTGAGGTGATGTGGCTAATTCCTAGCTGAGTCCTGGATTGAAGAGCTTAGAACCTCCTTCTCATAATGAATTTGAATGATCACCTAATTAGAAATAGACCAGGAAAAGGGGCATCTCAACTCTGTAAAGGTAGCCAAGGATATATGTTTTCCATGGCCTTCAGAAGGGTATTAATTTCTGTAGTTCAAAAACTCCTATATTTAAGCCCTTCTTACAATATCGAAACCTTCAGAATGAGGAAAGTAGCACTGGGCCTGATGGAAAAGGGAAGAACTCTTTTGGGAGATCCCATGGAGGTACTGAAGATAATAAGTAGAAGTGGAAACCATGGACTGGGTACAAATATGGAACTGTCAGGGTGATTGATATTGGCTCTTGCAACCTATACAGAAGAGAAGTGTTGGATGTTAAGGGTGTCCCTTTCCTGAACGTATTTGATTTTGGATAAAAGTTCCTCAACCCCAGTCTATGGTATTCATAGTTATCACTGTCCAAAGGATTTCCATAGGAAAGTTAACATCCTCCCTTGTGACATCTTATCAGATCTATGGTGGAGGACCTGGATCAAAACTCTCTCTGTTGAGGTAATATGATACTCTGAATAGAGCTGTGCCGTATCTTGGACCATGTCGAACTGTGTTCCCAGCTATACCTTGAACTGGGAGGGAGCAAGGTGACTACAGCAGACATTCATCTTTCACCATGAA